TCAGTTCCCTCCCTTCCCATGCCCTGTCCTTTGTGTTTCAGTTATGGGTCAAAGCTGTTGTTGTGCCTGGTTGAAACTATAGGACATGAATTTCTCAGGCTAGGTTAGAAAATCAACAGGCAATTATTTGTTTGTTGTGATGTTTTCCTTTGACCTTATTTTCACATAAGAGTTCCAGATGTGGTATGATATTATATGGAGAAACCCAGAGAACCAGGCAGAGGAGGCCCAGGTCTTGAAGTCTGAAAACACTGGTTCTCTTCCTCCTGTGTCACCCGGGATTCCTTCTCTCCTTCCATCCCTGCTTCCATCATCTGGCCCTCCCTCCTCTTCCATTTCTCCACTCCCCTTTTCTCCCTTTGCTTACTTCCTTTCTTTCTTAATGTTTTAGACGTGATATGAATTATTTTTATTTACTATAATGACCTGAAATTATTTTCTGTCTTTCCTGATTTATAATATTCATGTCAGTTTCTTCATTTCTCAGTGTTCATCTCATAATGCAGCACAATGTTAGACTGTTCTTGCAACCTATGGAGTCATAAAAACACACACAGAAAATGGATAAAAGACAAAAGGAAAAGGAAATCACATAACCATTGCATGTCTTTATGTATGGAAGGTCAGAGCATGATAGCCAGTGACTCTTTTTCTTTAAACAAGGTAAAAGAATTTCATACTGTGAGTATTTGGGACCCAACATGAACAGGTTAGAAAAGTAATATAGTCACAGTAATTACTTTCATATGGCAAAATATTTCAGTCAGCAATGACTAGCAATAAAACAAAATGATCACCTTTAGTATATCCATTACAAAAACAATTGTCTAAAGTAAGAATGGTTAAAATGCTTGGTAGAATATAAAGTGCTGATACATGAGGGCCTCTCTCTGTGCACACACACTTACAGGGACACACATGCACTTTTCTCAAATCTCGCAGACTGTGTTAACAGTAATTTACTTGAAATGTAGGGCCTTTTATAAGGGAAAATACCCCAATTAAGGATTTATAAATAAATATACTATTAGAACCACTATCTTCCATAAAATGAGTTTTCTTTTAGCTTTTAAGGTTTATAGAAATCACTTATCTGCTCCTTAAAAGATTCCTATTCTTTTTCTCCTCTCTTTTTATAAATATAGTGAATGTGGAACATCATTAATCCAGTCGTAATATCATCTGATAGTAGCTAATCCCTTCTTAGGCATAGCTTCTCCTGGACCTTTGGAATATAGAAATGTGCTTTTACTGTTCGGCATTTTCTTTAAACACCAACCTATGCTTAATGCCTAATTGCCTCCCTAAAAGACCACCAAGCAAAATGAATACTGCCTTCAGACTTCCTTCCTTGGGAGTCTTAGGAGTTTCGGGAGCCCATTATTTTGTCTGCTAAGGTCATGGACCAAGGGCAGCCCGGTGCCTGTTGTTTGGATGTGGCTATCGCCTCTGACAGGATGATGCAGCCCACTCTGAGATCCTAATCGGTTAGACAAAGTCTATTAAGTTTGAGCCCTTGAGCTGTCTCTGCCGAATCAGGGATACCAAAGTTACATTTGTTTTTGTGATGACCATTCATTTTGGTCAAATGAAGAAATTGTTCATGAGCATTTTGTGGCTCCAGGGACAAAACTCTGTGAATGTCATGTATCTCTTAGCCTCCCTGCTTTTTCAGAGATAGTATTGAGAAGAATCTTAAGAAAAAAATCATTTTTGTTGCAGCTGTTTATAAGTCACCTTGGTCATAAGAGGAAGGAGGCCAAAGAGGGGTGATAAAAAGCTGGTTTGTTTCTAGTTGGGAAGACTGGTGTGTGGGAGTGCTTGGAATAAGATATAAGAGGGGTCTGACTCCGTTAATGGAAGGCTTGGACTCAGGGCTTTATCTCTGAAACCTATGGTCTAGCCAAATTAGTGAATACATGAACCTTCCTTCTTAGATCCTAGATCCTAACTGTACTGTCATTGTTTTTCATGAAGTCATGACATGAAAAGGTTTTGGAAAAAGCCTTTCCTGGGCTGGACAGCACCCTCATCCACAGTAGACGTGATGGCATAATTCATTTCACTGTGCGTTTTCTTTTTCCAACATGTTGGCTACATAGTTAGCCATTCATGGGGGTTCCTCGTGATGTGCATAGTGTTAATGTAGACTTGCTTTCTAGGAACAAATGTTAAGAGATTTAAGCAGCTCATCCAGTGGACACAGCATCTCATCTGAGTAGACCCGCAAAACTTTTGTGTGTCTGTCAGAGTGGATCTGAGGATTCCATTCCACAGGCAAAAATACTGAGGCCGGAAATGAACAAGAAAATATCTCATTAAGACAGCTGATAGCAGTCATATTACTAAAGTCAATTTGGCCTTTCATAAAAGTAGTTTTATTGGCAAACTTTCATCTAAAGCTTTGTATTCTCTGTGGGACCAATTGTTAAGTGTTCATTATTCCAATAATAAGAAAACAAACACAATACTAATTATTGTGTGTATATAAGCACACAATGGGGAAATGGCAACATTGTCAATAAATAGTTAGAAAAACTCAAAACTTACATGCAATAGAATGAAATTGAACTCCTACCCAATATTGTATACAAAATTCGGCTCAAATGAGTTTAAAACTAATGGATTGCCTACAGCTTTAACACTTCTGAAGGAAAACATGGGAAACTTCTTGACATTGGGCTACAACATTTCTGATGTGACCCTGAAAGCAGAGGTAACAAAAGCAGAAGCAGACAAGTGGAATGGTATTGAACTGCAAAGCCTTTCTGCAAAACAGGAAACAATGGCCAGAGTGCAAAGATAACCCACAGAATTGGAGAAAATACTCGTAATTCATCTATACAATAAGGGGTTAATACCCAAAATACATGAGGACTTGAACAGTTCCACAGCCATAAAAACGCCAGCCCAATTAAAAATGGCAAAGTGCCTGAAAAGATATATCTCAAAAGATGACTTGAAGGGCAATGTGAAAAAAATGTAAAAAAAATTCCCAATGTCATTAGTAATCAGAAAAATGCAAATCAATATCACAATAAAAGCCATCCCAGACCTATTAGAATTTCTGCTATCAAATGACAAAGGGGGAGAAGTGTTTGCGAGGAAGTTGGGAAAACATAACTCTTGATTTTTGATGAGAATGCACATTGGTACTTCCATTATGGAAAACAGTGTCATCCTTAAAAAGTTAAAATACGACCTACTTCTCTCCTAGTAATTTTATACTTTAGTTTATATGTGAAGGAAGTGAAATCAGACTCTCAAGAGTTATCTGTGATCTTGTGTTCGTTACTGCATTATTCACATAGTCAGGATGTGTGTGCGGGCATTGAAGTATTCATAGATGAATGACTGAAGTAAATGTGACATGAGCTTATAAACACACTAAGTATAATATCATTTAACTTTACAAAATGATATCTTGTCCGGGAGCTGGAAAGATGGCTCAGCAGTTAAGAGTACTTGCTACTCTTGCAGAGGAGCCAGACTCAGTTCTAAGGTCTCACATGGTAGCTGAAAAGCATTATTAACTCCAGTTCCTGGGAACCTGATTCAACCTCTAACCTCACTCCACAACAGCAATGCACCTGGTGCACATACATACATGCAGGTAAACACTCACATACACAAAATAAATTAATTGAAATCATAACTTTTAAATATCCTGTGATTTTGAAAATACTGACGAACTTGGGGGTGATACTAGGTTATTTGAAGTAAACCAAGCACAGGATGGTGACAATTGTATGATACTGTAACCTACAAAAGCTTACTGGTGGAAAAGCAGAGTCTAGAACATTGCTGTCCTAAGATGCATGGGAGATGTGGAGAATTGTGCTGCAGGGTGTCTCTACTAAATAGTGTACTATATGCTCAAAAGAATGAATCATATATTAACACACATCACACGCACCCTCTGAGTAACTGGGTGAGGTGGTGTCATGTAGATGGATTTGGGGAGCCATCCCACAGTATCCATCTCAGAGCATTGTTTTGAACACCACATATTGAGGTATAGTTGACAAATACAAATTACATGTATGCATGTGTGTGTTTGCATGTGTGTGAAGTGTGATGTGTATGTTAATATATGTCAGCTCATGTGGATTAATGAATTACAGAAAGGCAAGATAGTTGCAGACTTTAGTTTCAATGATATCTGGTTTACTGACTTGTAAAACAATTGAGGCAATGGTTCATATCCAGGATTCTGTTGTAAATATTAAATGTGCAAAGGAGCATACAATACTGTGCACTAATGGTGGCACATTATTATGGCTTTGTGAAAGATGAGCTGCTACTGATCTCTCCAAACTCGGAAAAGGGGATGTATGTGTGATAGACAACTCTCAAGTCCAAAGTTCTATGAAAGAAAAGAAAGGATATGCAAGAATTATATAGAAAATAATACATTTTCTAAGATTACATTGTGAGAACTGGAAAAGTATAAAAATTATGGTATTTCAAATTGGCATACTATTATGTTGCAGTACAGCTAGCAGACAGATGTAAAAATAAAGTACAGATGTACCATTTTTTTAGTCAAATCTTATATATGGAAATCTAGATTTAAAGAAAGATTGGTTATAGGGTCATTATTTGCTTTACAAAGCAATTTGCCATAAGGTTCTTTTAAAAGAATACATCTCTAGTATCTTTAATATAATATTTCATTTACAGGAAAAAATCACACAACTTTACAAGAACTCATTTCATGCGTAAAATGAAGTACATATGTTGAAGGTTCAGAGAGAAAAGTAAGGTAGACAGAAAGAGAACATAGATGGTTAGGAATAAATCAGTTAATAAATTGGCAAAACTACTTACACTGAAACTTTTTTTAAATAATTTTTAATCTAATTATGTATATCCTTTAAGATGTCTCTGTGTATGAATTAATACACACAGAGAAAGAGATAGTCAGACAGACAGAGATGGGGGATGGCAGGAACAGCATCCAATGGCACACCTACAATGCTCTTTCCTTTTCCAATTAGGCTCCACCTTAGTGACACCGGCTGAGAACAGTCCATCAGAAGATGCTATGTTCAAGAGCTACAATACCATTGTCTGTCTTCTCCTCTGGGAAGTGCTCTTGGGACAGTGTTGCATCATCTCTGGAATGTTCAAGGTATTGCTCTACAGCCTGGACATCAGTGGGCCTTTGTCTGTTGTGTTGATCAATGATTCTTGCTTCCAGTTCAGGCTCCAGATCTTCTATAAATGTTGTACTTGGTTGGTGGTTTTTTTTGTTTGTTTGTTTTTTGTTTTTGTTTGTTTTTTAGGTGGGATCTCACTTTAGCTCAAACTGGCCTGGAACTCACTCTGTATATACGATTGCCCTTGAATGCATGCAGATTCTTCTACTCAGGCCTCCTTTGCTGAGATTGCAGGCATGGGCCCACAACAGGCTTATGGAACCATTTTTTTTTTTTTGGTGGATGATGTTTGTTCAATAACTTTTTTGATAATGCCATTTTTGATCACTGCATCTACATATTCCTGTCCCTCCCTCTGCCTCAAATCCCTTGTGTCTCTCTCCTTCCAAATGCATGTTATCTTCTCTAATGATTGTTGAATGTATACGTGCGTGAGAGGGTGTGTGCGTGTGCGTGCGTGTTTGTGTGTGTGCGCGTGCGTGTTTGTGTGTGCATGTCTGTATAACTTACTGGGTCTATTTAGCTTTGCTCATATGTGCATGTGTCCAGGCTGACTAGGCTGAGACTGACAACCTATGTGGGAGCTCATCACTAGAGGAAACTGATTCTCTCTCCCAGGAGCCCTTGAACAACTGCATAGAACATCTCATCTAGGTCTACACTATCACTTGGTCCTGTGTGTCAGTGTCAGTGGGACACCATCCAGGAGATTTGACAGGGTTTGGTGACACATGTAAAGTTCTATTGTAGTGCCTTATAGTGGTTGGTATGCAGTACCCCATTTCAGTATCTCACCGTGGTATCTGTGGGCCTACTCTGTCATTGTCTTTCACTCACTATTAAGTGATAAAGTTAGCAGAGGGCTAAACTTTACCAGCTCATATTGCCAGAGCCTGCCTGCTCCATAAGTGGGCACCATGTACGATTGTTAAGTCTAACTGAATTAAACACAGAGTATGCGTTTTCTCAAAATATGGAAAATTCTACAGTAAAGCTGTGCACAAGTCAAGCAAAAGCCAAAGAAAGAACAATAAGTTAAAATAAAGTGCGAAGGGCATGTGATGGGAGAGAACTCTCTGACTGCATCTATAAATTATCAAGTAGTCATTGAAATATGTACACAAATAATTCTGAATCACCCTAATTATATAGGACTTGTTCGCCTAGTTCTAGAATCTTACTAGGAATATGTTCTTTGTAGATTTTTTTGCTTTTGCAAATTGAGGTTTTCCTTCTTCAGTTACATTAGTTTATGATCCAACACAATTGTGTGAGAATGGTTGTAAGGTTTTCTGTAGTGGCACTGGATTATTTTTTGTTTTATTTTTTAGGCTCTCTTATTAGTTACATGAAGAGTTTGTCTGGCTTGGAGCCTTGAACTCATCTAAAGCAACCAGGTGCCAAACATAGTGTGTGACTGAACTCATCCTGGGACTTGGTTCTCTTTTACGTCTGTTCACTCTACCCCTTCCAGTCCAAGGATCATTCTTCTTGCTAGAGACCACAGAATCAAAACAGGAGTTGAATCATTCTGTTTTCTGTGACATCTGTTAACATTTTGCTGTGTGCCCCAATCAATGTACCTATCCCTTTGTTCTTCTTTACAAACAGCTTAAAATAGCTTTCTGTTGTCCTTGGCAGTTGTTCAGCCTTTAGTCGGGCTTTAACCCTCCCGACAGTATTCTTGAAGCACTTTTTTTATTGGCTCTTCACTATGTCTTCAGCCTTCCATTTGGGGTATGCGTTCCTTTATGTTCTATATTGAATAGCTTTAAAAGGGGAAAAAGAATGCTCCTTTCATGTTATCGCTTTTATACCTCTAAAATAATCTGCTATTATTTTGTCAAAATTATAAAAAAATAAACTTATTTTCCCTTGAAAAAAATTTGGTCCTGGGACTGTTTCTCTAATTTCTGTATTCTGATGCTTGCATTCCTGGATTCTAGGATGAATTCCATATCTAGCATTATTTTTCTTTTAATGTAACAAATTCTCACATAATAGAAGACTCTTTTCCAAATTTCTCCTCACTTTTGGCTCAAATATCCATATGTTATCCTTTGTTCAAAGCTAAATTACGTATTTATTGTATTATTCTTAGTCTGTAAATATCATATATCAATGAAATATTGTCATATATTTTGTTTCTACTTTTTATTTTGGAAAATCCCAGCCAATTCATTTGCAATTTAATATCCTATAAATCACATGTTCTGATACAGCTTAGAATCATACTTGGAAGCTTCAGTGTTTGTTTTTAAACTTCATTATAAGCATGGATTTGTTTGTTTGATTTGAATATTTTTGTCCACACAAATTTTCTCCAATATTCAAAGAAAGGCTTCACCTTCTTTGGATGAGTGTCTCTCTCTCTGCTCTTTGGGACCATTGTTAAAGACAACAACAACAAAAGCAAAAGCCCATTGCACCAATTTCTCTCCCAAATGTGGCCATGGCAGCTGCCCCTTCCAAGGTGTGTGGATGACCTTCAGTCTTCATGCTCTAGATGAGTAGTCCACGTCTCCTGGAGACAGCATTGGCTACCACATGTAGCCACAGTGTAAATATCACTTTTCCACAGTTTACATTTACACCTTAGAAAATAGTTCATTCCCCTTTGTCTCCCATGTGTAAACAGAAGCCTTTGAACTTGGTAGGGGGTCCCTGGTTTTTCTTTTCACTTTTGCCTCCCAGAGATATTAAAGCTCAACCAATGTGGTCCTGAAAACCTTCCAGATTCTATGTTAAGTAAAGAGGTTGTCGCTGCTTTTATAGAAGGATGTAGATGCTATCTATGGAAGTCAGTCCCTATATAACACACTCAAGCCAGTCTAAAATGCCTTCTTTACTCTTTTGATACCAGATTCAGATTTTCTCCAGTGCCTCAGAATATTCTATTTTTTAATGCTGGGTTCTATTTTTTAATGCCATATGCAAAACCTTTATCTTTCTCAGTAAGTTAGAACCACAGAAGGACACTCATCAAGTGCCCAGGATGGAAATCCATTCTGCATACAATATCCATGCTACTGAGACCTCGGGAAGGAGGAACAACAGTAGAGTGCACAAGAGACTTGTGGTGCTAACTTCCCAGACATCACACTCCCTGCTGCCTGCTTAGCTCTGCGTTTCACTCCTTTCCTGCTCCTGATCATAGCTAGATTGCTGCAGGCTTGTAAGCTGTTATTGTGGTAGTAGACTGGGGTACTTGGTAACATTGACTTTAACCAGTCCTCTAAGTGGGCTGAATACGCGTACTGTGCAGGACACTCATCTAGAACTTCCTTGTTGAAACCAAAGCAAAAGTATCTTCTGCAAATATTGCTTCTCTATTGTCTCTCGCCTATCTTCATCCTCTGAACATCCGCTTGAATCACTCACAGTATGATGAATGACATTAGAGGGTGGAAAAGGCAGTTGACCCTGGAATAATGAAAACTTAATCTGTGCAAACTTGGAGAAGTAGCATAGAGTTTGGGACAGTGTGGGACAAAGGGCTCTGGGTCTAGGATGCTTTCCCCACAGATGGAGGAGATTCAGCAAAGTGACAACACCCATGGTCTTTCCTTCCCACACACATCTTCTAGTCTCCTGGGTACTCACCTATTCTTCATTCTCTTGGAACTCATGGCTTTCTGTTCCCTAGAAGCAAAGGACAAGACAGAAATCATTTGCATTTAGCTCAGTCAAGTAATAAAAATTGTTCTTCTTATAAACACACATTGAAACCAAGCTGGGTTTGAAGTCCTTTTCTTGTTTGTACAATTTCACTGTATAGTCCCTGGCTAGCCTCAAACTCACAGAGATCCATTCTCCTGCCTCTGCCTCCTGAGTACTGAGATTAAAGGTGTGTGGCTCTGAATATGTCTTTTAAACTGGTATGTAAGTATTATTTCTGGGGAAAATTTATTTATAATATCTGAAGTACTTTATCAGTTAGCCTATGGAATAAAATGCACTTTTCCTTTTAGGGCCAGGTCTATGAGGTTGGCTGAGTAAATCCAAAATGATTTATATTTACTAGAATGAGATATTTCAAACATGTTATGGGGAACTAGCATACAATTTAGAATATTTTTTCATAAAAATAACAAAATTTAAAATTTGATGCACTCAAAGAGATGCTATAATATTCCCAGAGATCTGTTCAATTGGAATTTTATATAGGTCTTGGAATTTTAATTGGAGGTGCCAAATTAATAATAAAATTATAATAGAAGTGTGGTCTTTAGTAGGTATGTATTTGCAAAAACTACTTGAAGCTCAGTCTCCCAATTTTGCTTTGGCCCTAACATTTAGTTGAAATATATAGTTGCAAGAGAAAACACACATTTATAAACTAATAATTAATGCCCTTAGAAAACTTTACTGTGCCCATTCTAAAGGTCGGACGTGTTTTATCTTTGATTTTTAAGTAAAAGTTTCCACTAAATATCTATGTATACATAAATGTATATTTTCCAACATAGTTGACAAATTAAATGTGATGGACAAGGACAGTGGTTGCTTCCACATATTGCTAAAGCAAGTAAATAAATAATTATGCTCTATCATTACTAGTATTACTTAGCTTAGTTATCTGAAGAATAATTATACTAACTTCTAGGAACAAAAGTACTGCTTTTTCCCCACTATGGTTATTAAAGAGATATTAATACATGTTATATTCTAGTTCTTAAGAGTAAAAATTGGTAATAAGTCTTCCCTCTGTTCATAGCTTAGCGCACGCTGAAATAATGAAGAGGGACCTTAAGGTATAAAGTTGTCAAGATGTGCTTGAAACTTCTCAGGGATGTTAGAACAATGGCTGGCAGAGAAATTTGGGTGGATTCAGCAGAATTTCTTATAATGTCACTTAAGGGGAAAAAACTCGTAACATATTACACAGCCTTTTCCTGCAATTAGAATAACAACTACAGGTGGGACAGATTCAAACCTGCCTTACCAAGTTGTTTATAGCTATTTCCCATTG